TTTTTCAACATGGTTAAGTAGTTGCACTGTTTCTCCCAACTTGTTGCACTAGGCATAATATAGGTGGCCTATCTTTTGCTCACATACTAACTTTTTCATATCACATGTTTCAAGTGGCATTTTAATAAATTATGTGTTATAATTTATAAATCAAACACCTAATTAGTGGGGATTAATTAATGTGGATGCAGCATTTAATTTATATATTTATTCTATTAGATGATGATGTACAGTGGAATGATGCTATCCACACATTGAAAACCCATTTATTGGGTAATAGAGTACAGTGGATAGCCTACTTAAATATCAAACACGCATTTGACCACAATGTTTATATATGCATTTAGAGAAGCCTTTTATACTGCTGTTATTCTTTCAAGTTTTATGATTAGATGAATGAAGATCTAAAGCGACGCCCAAAGTAGTTTAATTATGATATTTTAATAGTAAGGCTATTCAAGAGGCAATATCTTCTATTCAAGCAACCGTAATTTACCTATCAAAGCCTTCTGAAAGTGAATTTAGCCTTGTGTGTTAGTAAATATATGTCATCGCCTAAAAGCCATTATTCCTAAAATCAATTATTAATTACAAATACTTTTAGTAATATTTTTACATTATATGCAAGATGATGAAATAATGAATTATTGTCACAGATGATACGCAAATTTTTCTTGAATCGGGTCCACCGAGATATCCTGGTAGTTATATTATTTAGACCTCCATTGTTGAGTGAGCTACCACTTACCAGGACCTGTGCAAGAATAATTCATTGCACCCATCATGTCCTTAAATGCCATTAATTAGTGGACATGTTCTTTTATGGATGCTTTTCCATTTTTTTTTTTTTCTTTTTGAATGTAAATGAATGTTTTTTCAAACATTTGAGCTCGAAAATCTTACTCGCTATGGCCTTCGAAATACTTTAGCCACCCAATTACTTAGGCACTCGAGCTACTTGTCCAGGTTCACACAGTTAGACTGAATTACACAAGAGATTATAAAAAACACATGACTAGCATAAAACTAAGTTTGATTTGTTAAGCAAGCTAGTATTTTTTGTGAACACGAGGCATGGTGTGAAATAAATTAAATGGATTTCACATGATTCATGCAAACACAGCTAATATGACTTTTTAGCGTGGAAACACAAAATCTTAATTAGGTCACAATTTTCTTCTTTCCGTAAAGGGAAACTCCCCAAGAATGATGATTCTATCAACTTTTTTGCTTGCACATACACAGAAAAATTAGGCCAGCTAGCTGCTACTACGTACAATCCATTCACATGATTCACATGATTTTGCTTCCCGTTCCACTTCACAAATATCATGATCGCTTAACAATCAATTTTGAGATTATTATTATTATTATTATCATGAAACAGAAATGGCTATGCAAATATGGCTAAGCAAGCAGTCAATCACGAAACCGCATGATTAGTTAATATTGTCAACTAAAATTCGACACCAGCTATTTTTGTTTCAACCCTTTCATCTTTTTGCCTGTAAAATAATTAAAAAAATAATAACTAAAAAAATAAATAAAAAGCCCAAAGTTCTTTCTTTTCCTTTTCTGCTTTTCATCCCCTGTTGTAGAAAGGCCTACTCCTAATTTTCCATTCTGTCATATTGAACTTCTTATATATGATTTCAGCTTTCTGTTACTCTTTTCCACANAAAAAAAAAAAAAAAAATCCTTCAGAGACCACTCACTCATCATCTTCCTCAACATAGTCACGTCGAAAAATTCACTCTGTTTTGTTCAATTTCGAACAGCTCTTGGTTACTGGAAAAGGTTCGACACACTTCAAATTGTGTCCGAGCAAGAAAATCGAGCATGAACATTGGACACTAGTATCTTTTTTTGCTACATTTTACAAGGTGAGTTCCCATTTTAAACCACTCTCCATGTAACTCGACTCAATTCATGTTGTTAAAAGTTTACGCACAAATTTTTGCTAAATATTCGACATTTTTCTAAGTCCTCTTAGCTGCCAAAACTCTACACAAATGGTAAACACTCCATTCTACATCACCATCTCAGTAATCGCCTTTGTTATCTCAAAGATCATAATGGCCGTCCTTTGCTACCGCCGATGGAAAACCAAACAAACAGTCATTCAAGACACCACCAAAGGGAAACTAGTCATGTTTGCATCACCAAGAATCAAATCCTTAAACTCGAGCGTGTTCTTGAAGAAGTCTATGAAGCTGAGCAGTAAGGACATGATTGGATCAGGAGGATTTGGGACGGTTTACAAGCTTGTGATCGACGATCAAATTTCGTTAGCGGTCAAAAGAGTCAACAGATTAAGTGCCGAGCAAGACCGTGGGTTTGAAAGAGAGTTAGAGGCAATGGGAGACATTAAGCATCGGAATATAGTAACGCTACACGGATATTACACGGCTCCACAGTACAATCTTCTCATTTACGAACTTATGCCTAATGGCAGTTTAGACACACTGCTTCACGGTAAGCTATCGAAAATACTCGGTTTCTGTAGGGCAGAACACTCTTTAGCGTTTATTTGAAAAACCGGAACACATTTGGAATATTTTGTATATATGAACGATTAAGACTATGTTTGGTAAAACTAGCTGATAGCTGATAAACATGCTTATAGCTTATATGTAATTTTAGAGCTTACAGTTTATATCTTATGATTTATAGCTGAAAAGTCAGCTTATATGATAATACAAGTGTTTGGTAAAATTAGCTGATAAGATAAGCTAGCTGAAATAAAAATTTCAACTAACTTATTTAAAAAACTACCTAAAGAAGCTTATGAGATAAGCTGAGCTTTTTAAAAAAGCTCGTCCTACCAAACGAGACTTACTTGAATACAAGAAGCTTATAAGCTAATCAAATAAGCTATAAGCTAACTTATTTTGCTACCCAAACGTAGCCTAAAATAGAGATCAGAGACTCGAGTAATCACTATGAATGATGATGCAGGAAAATGTATGAACAAGATGGCTCTTGACTGGGCTACAAGATACAAAATAGCAGTTGGAGCTGCACGAGGGATTGCGTACCTTCATCATGACTGCATTCCTCATATAATACACAGAGATATTAAGTCGAGCAATATATTGTTGGATCATAACTTGGACGCTCGAGTATCTGACTTTGGGTTAGCTACTTTGATGGAACCGGAAAAAACTCACGTGTCGACATTAGTTGCTGGCACTTTTGGATATTTGGCGCCTGGTATGCTTTTTTTGAGACAATTATAAGCTTCTTTTATTCCCTTTATTTATATCTGATCCTAATGATATGTTTTGATCCCCTGCAGAATATTTTGATACTGGAAAAGCTACGGCAAAAGGAGATGTCTACAGCTTTGGAGTCGTGTTATTGGAGCTTCTAACGGGTAAAAAGCCGACGGATGAAGCTTTTGTTGAGGAGGGAACTAAGCTGGTGACTTGGGTAAAATTTTTGACTCGAAATGCAATTCATTTATTTATATGTTCTGTGTCGACATTACTATGTCGAACTTGCTAAATTTATCAGACTACTTTTTGAGTTGGATTTGCAATCAATCAATGTTGTTGACTTCTATTTCCCTGGTTGACTCGCACTTATTATTTTTTCAGCATGGTTTCATTTTTAAGGTGATAACAAGGTTAGATATGATAATATGTTGCAGGTGAAGTCAGTTGTCCAAGAAAAGAGAGAAGAGTATGTGGTGGACTGCAGTTTGATGGATTGTCCAGTAGAAGAGGTCAATCGTGCATTTAGTATAGCAATGATGTGTCTTGAATCAGAGCCATCCACAAGACCTACCATGGCAGAAGTTCTGAAGATGCTAGAGCAGATTAGACCAGAAGAAACTTGAAATTGTGAATTGTATAAAAAAAATGCATTTTGAGAACACTGATTGAATATTTGGAACAGAATTCATCAGATAAAAAAATTTTGCATGTAGAAGGTCAATAAAAATATTTCTCTGTAGAAATAACTGACCTGGGAACTTAAAGAACAACAGAAATCCGTTTGCACCTTTCGTAACTCAAGTGCCGCAGCTAATCCACTAGAAACTGAAGGATTCATGAATTAGAGAATATGCATTTCATAAAGTCAAAATCAATAACATGTATGATAATTGTCCCTACAAAAATCGTGTTTTCTTTAAGACCATTACCTAGAAAAATAGAATATATAACCGAGAATCTTGTGGTATTCGTAGCATCTATATTTACTGAAAATGAAAAGGTTTGTACAAATCCAGCAGCATATATATTTTACTACCAATTACCGATAATGCCTTTTTCCATGCATCTAGATTATGTATCCCTATACAAAGGTTGTAGCTCATAAGTCATCAGGATCAAAGATTAAAACAAAGTGCAAGTGTTTTAAGTGCCGTAACATAACTTTCCAGGACCAAGTAATGCTAAAGACGAACAACCCGGAAGGCTCGTTGATTTTATAAATTTCACCATGGTTTTCAGGTTCTTCTGTGGATTCTAAACTTGCGAATGAAAGCCATCTCAAACGAACGTCATTGGAGGATTTACACTACTCTATATAACATACTTAGAGCATCTCCAATGTCAAGCATGAATTGTAGTGTATGTGGCAATTAAATAGATGGTCTTCCATCTACGTGTAAGGAATAAATGTTCAAACACATAAAATGTCTCCAATGGTTTATTTATTCAACTTAGAAAATATGGATCATCATGTCTAACATGACTTCTACGTGTAGAAGAAGTTCTAGATTTTATTTCTTCTCTCTCTTGCCATGTCATTATGAATAAAATCTAGACATTCACTCTACTTTGACGCTAACGAGACTTTTGAGAATTGTGGAGAAGTTTTTGTATTCACAAAGTCATATGGATAAACCTAATATACAATGCAACAATACTAAAATATTACAATTATATAACAAAACATTCCCCCTTAAATTCAATGTGGTATAGTGGAGATCAACTTGAGTTTATTAAGAAGCAACTACAATAAGAAGATAGATAAAGACAATTAAATAAATGAAACAAATATTTAATATGTGGTTTAAAAATTCAATCTACTATTAAAGAAAAAATTAAATCATCTTTATGAAAGTAGTCTCTTTCTGATTGAATAATTTTTTTTTGTTTTTCTAATTCATTGTTCTGGTGTTCAAAAGAGGGGCATGACCTTGTCTAATTTATTTGATTGGAGTTTAGTGTATAGTGGTGTTTTGTGGGTCAGTGCGTAGTAGAAAAGATTAATCGTATATAATATTTTATTAGAGTGGTGCTTTTAGTCTTTGGATTTAAATAGATAAGTGAATTATTTTGGTGCGTTAGCGGACTAGTTTATTGGGTTGAGCTAGAAACACAATAATTTTTTTTCAAATTAATAGTTGTTAAATGAAATATATGTATGGGATGGATTCATTCAATTTTTATTGGTTCTAATGAAACCACGCCAATCATCTTATTACCAATACCAGCACCAATGGCTACCGTTTGTTTCTCGCGCAGAGCAGACATATTGACTAGAGCTGACCTGACGGGACCGGACCGGACCGGTAGATAAGATCCCCAGCTCTGCCCAACGCGTCTTATTTCCTCTCCACCCTTTCATTATTCCTTCCGCGAGATTACAACTTTTCAGAAAGAAAAAAAAATGCAACCCTGTGTGTCTGCCCTACAAAAAGAGGAAACTGGATTATAAGGTTAAAAAGTCTATGTTTGGGGCTGTATTTTTTGCTCCACTCAAACTTAGCTGCTTATGAGTTATGACCAACATACATTCAGTTCCTAATCTTCTGGAGTGAAATTCAATTTCCGCGTCTCTTTTCTGTCAGAAATAAGAAAGCGTCCGAGTTAACCACCGACTCATTCTCAGTTTATATTATGCATTAAAGATTCAATTTTTGATAGTTTCTAGCTAGCTGGGTGTCTGCTAAACGACATTTTCGCCAGGTTTCTGAAGTGGGTTCTTGATTATAGAGAAAAATCTTGCATCTTGTTTTTCGTTTTGTACATATTTTTGGGGATATTGTTACTTTTGGTGATGATGTCAGTGACAACATGCCATAATCTTGAGTTTGTAAGAACGAGGTTGGACTCCATGTCTTGTGGGTGCTCGTCCAATTCGTCGTTCAATCGTCCGTCTATGAGAAACTGTACAAAGGGTTTGGTTAGGAATGTCAACGGGGCCTCTAAAATGAGACAGTTGCAATGTTGCCGGCAGGATATGGGCGGTTGCAGGGTCTTCTCAACCAAGACTCCAGAGGCTTTTCTTACTGGTACTAAAGTATATGTTCCTTTTTGTAGTGTTTGATAATGTCTTTCGGTTAGAATATGATTGGTTTATGCATTTAGTAGTCAATCTTAGAGTTTCTGATAGTTTGTGGGGAATTATGTAGGGACGGCAGCTGGTATTCCTCTGGTTCCGGACTTAACTAAAGAGACTAAAGGTCCTTTTGCAATGTCTGATATGTTTGAAGTGGTTGCTGAGGACTTAGTTATGCTCAACAAGAATCTGCAATCTGTGGGTTTCTCTGTTTCCTTTTTTTTTTTCGTTATTATTACTTCTATGCTCTGTGAAACACTTCATTAGTTGTATTGCGTGGTAAATTTATGACATAATTTCTCTCTTTGACAGCCTTTTCAGTTTCATAGTAATTTATTAGTTTCAGTTCTTGGGTTTGATCGTGTGAAAGTGTTTATTAGTCCTATATGTAGCCTAACATGGATCGTAGACATTAGCAGTTGTTGGCTACTAGTTTTTGGGGTGAGGAGAGAAAAATGCCTATGCCATAATAATGACTTTTTTCAGAAGAAGGCAACCGCGAGAAGTTTCTTTTCAAATATGGGGGGTCTGCAACTTATTTAGCAGCTTAACTGTAAATAAAGAATTTTGGTAGACTTTGGGGGATGGGAAAGAAGTTCCCTTGTGTTCATATCGTGACCAGCTCTACTGTCACAACTTGTGAAGAGAACTTGGTGACATACAAAAATTACTTGTTAAGGCACACCACTATAGACGCCTTGACATTCGCGTAAGATTATTATTATCAGTATATAGATGTGTCGATCCAGCTAACTATTCTGTTACCTCACTTGAACCTTTCTTGCCCAGTGATCCATCAGTGGCTGCTAATTATTTAGTACTGCATATGCATTGGGACAAATGCATTAGTCAGACTGTATATAATATGATTCAGTGCCAGTAGTAGGATATTCGAAAAAGAAGCATTGATTGTCATATGGTGAAGAATGCCGTTGCTATCATTGCTAATCCATAAACTAATTAAGATTTATTTAGCAGTTGGCTTTGCCATGTTAGACGACAAGTACAAAATTTGTATCTGTGTATCAACTGTATCTATCGTGTGAAACTGAAATCTAAAATTTAACTTATATTGATAAAAACGACCATCAGATTGTTGGTTCAGAAAATCCTGTCTTGATGTCAGCTGCCGAGCAAATATTTGGAGCCGGTGGGAAAAGGATTAGACCGGCTTTAGTTTTTCTAGTTGCAAGAGCCACTGCAGAGATTGCTGGTTTGAAGTGAGTAAAATAATCATTTGCACTATCTTTTGTACTTGACATTTTGAGGTTTAAGACATTGTTGGTTTCATTGTTTTAGGGAACTCACCAAAGAACATAGAAGGTTGGCTGAGATCATTGAGATGATTCACACTGCAAGTCTAATACATGATGATGTGTTAGACGAAAGTAACATGCGGAGAGGTTAGGGTTCCATACTTTCTGTCAAACAAAATATTTTACGTATTGTCATTATGCTTTCTACTTGTTGAAGTTCAAAATTTGTATGCTTGCCTTGAATTTCCTGTTTCTCCATCATATTAGTGCTATAACACTTTATTGAACAGCCGACTTCATCATGTAGACTTTTTCAAAATCATTCCCTGGAAACTGTGGTACTTTTCCTCCTTTTTCCTTAAGAGTATAATCTGACATATGTACTGTGGTACTTCAGGAAAGGAAACTGTTCACCAATTATACGGCACAAGAGTGGCTGTGCTGGCTGGGGATTTCATGTTCGCCCAATCATCATGGTACCTGGCCAATCTCGAAAATCTTGAAGTTATCAAGCTTATCAGCCAGGTTTATGATCTCTTCTTCTTTATCCTCTTTTCCTTAAAAAAAAAAAATATTATTTTTGGCCGCCAAACGTATATTACTTACTGGCAGTGGAGGATATAAAATGACACAAGATTCATTATTATTATTATTTTTTTTTTTCAAACACACTACCATTTCCAGGTCATCAAAGACTTTGCCAGTGGCGAAATAAAGCAGGCGTCCAGCCTGTTCGACTGCGACATCCAGCTGGACGAGTACCTAATCAAGAGCTACTACAAGACGGCCTCCCTAATCGCGGCCAGCACAAAGGGAGCTGGCATCTTCAGCGGGGTCCACGCTGACGTCAGCGAACAGATGTACCAATATGGCAAGAACCTGGGCCTCTCCTTCCAGGTCGTGGACGACATCTTGGACTTCACCCAATCGGCCGAGCAGCTGGGCAAGCCTGGCGGTAGTGACCTGGCGAAAGGAAATTTAACGGCCCCCGTGATATTCGCCTTGGAAAAAGAGACGAGGCTTAGGGAAATAATCGAGACTGAATTTTGCGAGACTGGCTCGCTTGAGGAGGCCATTGATATTGTGAGTAGCTCTGGGGGCATTGATCGGGCCCGGGACTTGGCCCGGGAAATTGCTGATCGGGCGGTTGATAATCTCCACTGCCTGCCGCAAAGCCCGTTCAGGCATGCGCTTGAGCGCGTGGTGGACTATAACTTGGAGCGAATTAAATGATTTTACGTTATATTTTATTTTTGTTTTTGTGATTTATGTGTTCGGAAGTTTGTCATTCGGCCGATTGGTGTGATTGGTATACAACTGCTGCTCGGGGTGTGGATTGGGGGCCCAATCTGAGATTGGTGAAGATGGTCTTCTTTTTCATTGAAAGCTGCTTATAGGAAACAAGGCTTTGTTGTAATGTATATGTTTACAGATTATTGTTGGGCAATACTGTTGTAGCCTACTGTATCATGGCTAGTATAGGGACTCAAATCTTGTTATACATTTGTTGTTTTTCACAATAATGTTCAGTAGTAATACTAATAATGAGACTGTCCTTGTGTTGTAAACTGTATGATGATTTTGCTTTGGTCGTTCTTGTAGTGTTTGCAAACATTCTTGTAGTTATATAAAGCTTCTTCTCTAGTTTCCTATTTTTATTTTTTCAGTTGAGATAAGGGTGATATGTTTGCTATTATCCCAAAACTTAATTTAAATTGTCAGCAAAAGGACATTAACCTGAAATTTTATATAGTATTCTCGTTACAATAACGACGCTTTACAAGCATTTCACTCAAAACACTCTAAATCTGAAATAAATTCTTCACAAGCCCACTATAGACATGTTTACAGGCCGATTTGGCCCGTCGAACCGACCCAAAACCACCCAGGTTAGGCCTTTGACGACAGGCCTGTTCAAGTTTATGATTTTTCACAATTTGAACTGGAACCAAAATCGACGATTCGATATTTTTTTTTATTTTTTTTTATTTTTTTTCCTAATTTATTAGTTCGCCCCGGAACCGGCGAGTCGGTTTTGAACCAAAACCTCCTGTTCTTTTAACCGGCCTGTATATGTTATTAGACCGGTTCAGAGCTCCAAAATACGCGGCCCGACAAACCCGAAATCAGGTTTGGGCCATGACTAGTCCATTATTAAAATATTGGGCCGCATTGTGCAGAGGCCCAGTTTCAGAAGAGGAGCAAAAGGGACAATTGAATCAATCCCCTCCTTATAAATTAAGGTTTTAGGGTTTCACCAACTTTTGTATTGCCTTTGAGAGAACCGGGCGCCGGCTTCGCTGTGGCGCTCGTGTTCCGTTGCCGGCATAAACCGATCTTCGGAGCGACCTTTTCCCTGCTGCCAACTGAGAAAATTCCTAATTTCTCTTTTGCTGTGGTGAAGGCCTTATATTGACTGTTAGATCTATTTAATTTTCCTTTATTCTGATTTTGTTCCGATTGAGTAATGGCCGTTCCAATGGGCCCTTGCAATCGTAATGTGTGGGGGCTCAATTTCACCCGGCCTACATTGATATTCAATTGAATTTCTGGGCAGCCTCAGGATTTTCACACGCTTTTCCCAATCGTGTTTAATTGAGGTGAATTTTTTAGTGCTCCGTATATATCTGAACGTTGCTGATTTTACATTTTATATGCAAATTTTCCCCGTATTATTTCTTTCACTCCCTTTGCATCGTCCACTTCTTTTTTCATTTGGAATTTAAAATGAGAGAACCTTTTTTTTCTTGTAATGTTTGAATTATGCTAATTGGGAATTTAGCATATTCTTAATTGTTTTATTGGTTCTTCTAGTAAATGGGTGAAAAAGGAAGTGCCTTGCATTGGTGAGATTAGATTATTTCTAGATATAGATAATTTGAAGCCGTTTATTAGATTAGCTGTGTTGGCCAACACTATCACCTGTGTAGCTTATAATTTGTAGTCATAACTGGTGTTCAATTTGAGAGTCAGCTACTTGTGTTTGATTGATAATGAAACAATCATACTTGTTCACATGAACATCTATACCACATTTACATCTATACTAAGAAATATTGTGATTTTGTTTTATATTGAATTTTGAATTATGACATTTTGTGCAAATTTTAAAATGATATCTAATAAATAGCAACCAGCATGAATACTTTCAACATGTTGGGTCAAGCACGAACTCCCACTCAACTGATTTAGTAGCGTGTCTGTCTTACTGTTTAAACAATGAGGTGTATATATTTTGTGAGCAACAAAATTTTGAGAAACTACACAAATAATCTAAATACACCTTAGTTGTATTTTTGAATCCTTGCTCCTGAAACAATACTAAAGATTTTATATCTTGTTCTGACATCTGATGTTTCAGCTCAAAGGTGGAGCAAAAAAGGATTTTCACTGTTATATTTTTATGGTGTCATATTTTTGTCAAGGTTATCTAATTAACTTTTTTCATCGTATACATATCATTTCCATGTGTAATCTTGAAACAATTTTTTATCAAATCTGAAGAAATTCAATATGAAGTATATATTACCTTTCTTGACTTAAATTTTTAAAGCTTTCTCCAAGTGATTGTCGATTTTGTAAAGTTCTTGTTTCTTCTATGGAACACTGTCTCTAGATTATGCGTGTTTGAGTATGTCGATGATGATAACAGCCTCCACCTCTTCAGTTCTATCTGTAGTGGGTACAAAAATCTGGCAAAGAAGGAAACTGGGGAATTATTATGATTTGAAAAATATATCAATGTGCCAGTCTTTTCTTCATTTGTGATGGGGTTTGAGGGAGGTTTGTTGTTATTTAATAGTTCCCTTCCAAATTTGGGACAGGACACTACAATCTCTCTAGATGCTCCCCTCTCTCTAGATTTTTTCTACTCCTCTCTAGGTTCTTCCTTTCCTTTTTTCCTCTTCCTTCCTTTTTATTTTTCAGGTTCTCGGGCTTTTTATCGCACAGCGAGAGACTGCTTAGTTAAACTTAATAACATCATGCTCTTGAGGAAAGATAGACACCTGATTAGTGTATTCGGTCGGTGCATTTAATATTTAATAAATTATTGGTGACTTCGTATGAATTGGAGTACACGATTGTCTAAGCCTCCATTATTAATGAGTATCGATACAACATTAATGGATGTATGTAATGGGTCTTAATCGCTACGGCAACCACTGATCCATCATCTTACTTTCAATAAATGAGAGACAAATATTATATACAACGTATGTAGGGTCGGATCCTTATTTGATATCATCCACACGAATTCGGGTCGCTCAGCAATTGGAGCTGCCAATTTGCCTCCACGTAGCTAGTTTACCTGATTGAGATTGATTACTTGTGTTGCATTTTTATTTCCAAATTGATGCAAGTATATGATTCATAATTATGTGATTATTATATTTAAAATTCGGGATAAAAATAACATAAATCCAACTTGGTTGAATTATCTTTAATTATATTTAAATTTTAATTACCAAGGCCTCTCTTTTAGCAAAGCTAGCTCATTTGATGTATGAGAAATCCTATAATTGATCTTGTAAACAATCGGGATTATCCTAAGACCTCAAATTCTCCGAGTAGCCTCATAGAAGAACGAACTGCGAGTGTAGCAATAAATAAATAAATAAATAAATAAATAAATAAAAGAAAGAAAAAGCCTTGAGGAAAGAGGCATTAATTGGTCACATCTGGTCGACGTCTTCTAGCTACCAAATTTGACTCGCTCCCTCCTTGCCCAAGAGTCTAAGACTAGTGAAAAAGATGCAGGTTGCCCCACGAGCATCCATACTCGAACAATACTACACTCTTTAAGCGGCTAGTCATTAGTTTTTATTTCTTTTAAATATATGTAGAAATTGTGTTATTTTCCATTTTTTTTAATAATTTTTAAATAAAAAAAACTAGTAATTAAATATATAGATATATGTGAGTTTGTTAAAATACGCCATAAACTAGAATAGAGAATCATATTGATTGGAGTCATATAAAGAGTAAAATTGGAAGATTTTTTTTTTTTTNTTTTTCAATTTCGTTCAATCTCTCTCCTATCGAAATGAAATATGGTTAATTATGCCCAAAAGTGTTACCCTAATCTTTGAACTGTGAATATTTAACTTATATTATATAATTTATATTACGATGAAAATTTGAAACTGTATATATACAGAACAAACTGAGTGGAGTACACGCTCCCTTACTTAAAACATCACACTTCAATTGTGATATAATCATACAATACTATGACACTACCTAATCCATGGAAGTGTTTGATATTTAAAAGAGATGATGAAACGCGCGCAAGTAGGGTGGAAAATGATTTAAGCTCTAACTCCAGATACATGAGCTTGAACCTTTATTGAGCCAAGCCTATACGAGCTCGAGTAAGCTCATTTATCGAGCTCAACTCGAGCCAAACTCAAGCCTTAATTATATGAGCTATGGAAAAATTAGATAAAAATTCTTATTTTTAAGCCTTAACGAGATGAGTTTGACATATAATCAAACGAGTCGAGCTCAAGTAAGGCTTATATTTTATTGTAAAACATATGTTGATTTAAACACTCACTATCTATGCCTTTTCTTCCATTTGTTATATGTTAACTAACCTATATCGATCTAGTTATGTAAGTGTTAATCCATCATATCACACTAACATAATATTACAACTGCTATAGGCCATATATGACATTGTCTAAATTAATAATGTAAAGTAGTAAACATACATAACATAATTGATACACAAAGTATATATGAGTTAGCTGAGAAATGGGCAACATTAATGGAACAATGGAGGAGGTGATGGGTATCTACATATCCTCTGCGCGCACAGAGCGCCTTTGCATGGGAAAGTGTGGCGCCCTTTAATGAGCATTTATTTCACATTCACCTAATTCCAACTACATACAATTGCACGTCCATTAATAAGTAGTCTTCTTCCAGCTACTTGCTCTTGTTTCCTCCCACAATTTGCTCAAAAATAAGAGNCAAAAAAAAAAAAAAATCCCCACTAGCTATTGTTTTACACTAGCTATTATTATTAATATTATTATTTCGCAAGATGGGAAAAGATGGGGCCGTGGCCTTGGGAGAGTCTCAGTCTCCGGCGAACGAGAGTGGAAGTGCCGCCATGCGCATGGCTGAGACACTGCTTCGAATCCTCCCCATAGCACTTTGTGTGGCGGCTCTTGTCATCATGCTCAAGGACTCCGAGACTAACGAATATGGATCCTTGACCTATTCTGACCTTGGAGCCTTCAGGTAATAGCCACAGACTATAAACCATATATTTTAACGACTCAGGTTTATTTTTAACGTGATTATGTTATTTATGGTGTTTATTTTTTTTTTTAAAAAAAAAAAAAAATAGATATTTGGTACATGCGAGCGGAGTTTGTGCCGGTTACTCCTTACTTTCGGCGGTAGTAGCTGCCGTGCCCCGGCCTTCCTCCATGTTAGGGGCTTGGGCGTTCTTTCTCCTTGACCAGGTTTTTCTATCATACTTTTCCAGGCAAAACAATAGTTGTTATTCACACTTGACAGATGAATTAGGTTAAAATTTGTGATTTTTATTTTTTCTGGAACTTGAAATCGCGATATTTGTTAACAAGAGGAGCTAAAAATGTCGATCCATTTATCTTGAGTCACTGCCAATACAGTCAGACTCATTTTTTATTAAAATCAAGATCCATTTCCTATGTTCTTATAATGTTCTTATTGTTAATGGTATGAATTGATTTGCAATGTTTTATCAGTGGTAGATTCATTAGATTCAAGCTTTTCGATAATCAAGTCAAGTCTTGAGTAAATAGCGAATTTTAAATTCATGTATTATCTCTTAATTAATTAAATTTCACGTATCTAGAATTTTCCATGGAATTCTTGTAAAGAGAGTGTGCCGTAGCAACTCAGAATGAAAACCTTATAAAAAATAATTTTTTTCTAATCTACCATACCTTGCGAACCCAGCACTTAAAACTTTTCATTTCTTAAAATTCTTATCTTGTATAAATCAACAATATGAGCTAATGTTGG